AGTTTCATAAAAAGATTTAATTACATTCTAATTTACATGTTATGAGCTTTCTTATAAATGTTTTCTGACGATCAAGAACATTCCAATGAATTTTTGCGAATTTTTTTTAATTAGCAAATTATTTTTATAATACTTTGAACGGTTATAATTGGATACAACGATTATTGTTATATTCATCGAATAATTTATATTAACAGACGGAGAGCAAAGCGGAATAATTTACTGCATTTTTGCGCAGCCGTCGTTATGTGAATTCATTATGAAAACAAACTGGGTCATAATTATAAGTGCATTTTACAATTTTTGTTTCGCGATAAAGTTGTCGATGATGATGTTATTTTTTCACGTAGCGCCATACAGCGAATTTATTCGCAAATTTTACAAGCTTTTTTCGCATTTATTATTACCATTAACAGAATGTTTTAAAGCTACATAATTCGCCATTTACGGCCTATTAATCGGCTTATTATATTTTTATTATTTCTCGCGTAGTGTAACATAAGTCACGAGATTTAGATATAAAAAAGGAGAAAAAGAAGAAGAATATATATAATCGTGCAGTAATTACGATCGGACATATTACATGCATATTACAAAATAGCATCGTTTATATTCGTTATTTAATGTTTGTGTTGGCACAATTAACAGTCGTATTAATGTAATCGTCCGCAGTTGCAATTTTATTTTTCTAGATTGGTTACATGCGAACTTGCTTTCAATGAAGCGTATAGGACCCCTTTCAGACAGAAACTTCGTCGAGTAGTGTAAATCATGGATGAAGGTTAAAGGTTTCCGATAATCCTCCATATATCACTCGAAGCGCAAGGTTCAAATTAACGTAAATGCGGTTTTCGCCTCTGAATCCGGTAATTGTTGCTTCTACCTAGGGACGGCGGTTTCGCCACTTGCTCCGTTACTTGAAACTTGTTCCCTTGTTATGTTACTCTTAATCTATCGAAACTAGAATTTCTTGTTCGCCACACGGGCATGAACTTGAATTTTCAATGTGCGTACGCATGCGTTCGCGGTGGAAGCCAGCTTCTCAGCGCGTTGCAATTTGAAATAATTAAAGCTAGAGAGACCAATGAAATAGTCATTAACACACACGCGGAACGAAAGTGTAAATTAATATCACAATTTGCTACATTTGATTTTAATGTGAAAAAAGATAATTTCAGAAAATTGAATATAGCAGCATTTGTAAACGTGAATATTTAATACACAATGTAATTCGAGATTGAACGGCTGTTAAATGATTTCATAAAAATTAACGTGCAATTACGGCAATAAAAGGCGTATTATTCGCTGGCAATTGATCAGACTTCTAATCGTGAAACTGTAATTGCAAAATGGCGTCTTTTATATGCAAAAGAAATGAAAGTGAAGACGTCGAGCGAGCTCATGATTCTGAATATTCATACGGACATTTGCATATCTTGTATTACTGCGGTATTGATTTGTTTCGCATTTTCTTGTCATGTTTCATTTATCAATTGCTGTTCTCTCCTTAGAATAACATTGAAATGCGTTGACACAAATTTTCTTATTTTAAAAAGTTCACCGATTTTATTATTTAGATACAAAGAGACTAGCTCGGTATTATGCAATTTCTTTTGTGCTTGTTAATATGTACAGTAAGCGATATACATTAGCTTTCCGTTTTATCCCGGTACATTGCAGTGAATATGGATAAGTATTTCGGTATTACGAGTACAATGACAAGTACTTTTGTTCCGCGTTCATTGAATAGATTCGTCTGCGGGATTGGCAATGTACGCATCAAAACGAAGCACGTCTATTGTCAACGTCGAGCGTTGGAAAAGGCAGCATGAAACAACAATGCCATCGTTGTAAATTGCGTCATGATCGATATCGTGAGTATGTATGCGAAGTACGCACCGTAGCCCGCGGCGTTCGCTCGCTCGCGGCGGTCCCGGAGCGCAGTGCGTGTCGTACTCTTTTTTATCATTCCCGAACTTGCGAAGTTGCGTGCGGCGACCTCGTTGTGACGTTCGGAATATTAAAGACAGGCCAATTTGATAAAATTACATCGATGCGACTCCGGCGCGTTGCCGGACGGGGCGATATTCCGCGTATTAAGCGCCATTTTCACAGGACATTGAACCGTCGTGATATCAATACTGACGCCGCGCAGCAATATTATTCTCGGCAATGACAGTGCGACACGCAGCATTGCATTGTATCATGACGTTTCGATGCCGTTCGAGGAATATCGAATGTCCTCGTCGGGATGTCGCGCGAAATATCCAACCGAACTGTAGGAGATAGCGAGCGGAAGGACGTAGCGCGTGCGATCAATCGTTTAATTGCGGTCGTGTAGGAGAAGCTAACCGTTTTGTTAATAAGCGTGTCGGACAGCGCTAGAAGCTGCGGTGTAGAACGTTTATCGTGGTATCATCGAGGTTTAGTCGAGCGAGCGCGGATTATTCGTCGTAAGTGGCTTCGCCCGCAGCTTCCATTCCGAAACATACCATTACCGGAATAACGTATTACGCACTTACGTTTCGGAAGGTTGCAGTCTGTATCCAGATCAGGCTGTTGTGCATGATAATATGCGCATTATATCGTAAGGATGTTCTCGAGTTCGTACGCGTAAAATTTGCTCTCGCCCGATGCCCGACTAATTTCAATCTTCCCGAACGTTATTAAACTTTCCCCGAAAGTTATGTGCCGTTCGGTGCACTATAACGGTGCAGTCAACGTAGCGGCTTTCATGTATACATGAAGATGGCAAATCGCGACCGCGTTCTTATCGCTCGAGGGAATTTCCGAAAAACTTTCCAGTCTATAAGCGTATCTAGAAATAGAAAATTCTGCAGTAGCAAATGCGCTTGAGATGCTGCCTTTTCCTCACGAGATACGTATAATCGAAAAGGATTTTTCTACTTTTTTTATTATGTACTTTTCTTATGTAAAAACTTTTGCAATCATATGTTGGAGTATTTAAATGGCTTATACAGGATGTTCCAAACCAATCGTATCACTATTAACAGCAAATTCCTCAGGTTATTTGCAGACGAAAATCTTTATATCGTAATGTCGAGGCAATAATTTTTAGATACGAAAGTATTTAAAGTTTACTAATCAGGTTATCAAAAGTTCACACGCTCACATCGGATATTAATTTTTATATCCTTACCATATTAGAAACCCGAGAATTCTATTATTAACGGGTAATACGATTAGTCTGCGATATTATATATTTTATGTTATTTTTGAAATCTATTCTCTCGCAATGATATTAAAACAAATGAAATTAACTTACCGGCAGCGGAGTTATTCACAAATTAATCTGTAACATACAAAATATATTCAAATTATAGCAACAAATTATTTTGAAAATAATTATTGTAACGCACATTAAATTCACTCATCTTTTATGCAAATATCTAATAAAAGAATTATCTATTTACAACTAATAACTATAAATATCAAAAATTGTTTAAAAATGTTCTACTGAATATTTCAAAGTTTTTTATGTGCGTTACAATACACTATATTTTACGTGTAATATTTGGCAAATCACAGATAATAAATAAATGATTATTTATCCTAAAGTTGATTTGCCGGTGCTCTTTCTGAGCATTCTTTTCTTCTCAGTCTTTCTTGCAATCTTTCAAGGAACTCACACGCGTTCGCAATGCGAGAACAAAAATCGCACGATGTTTTAAACGACACTTCCGACACGTACCTCGTCACATTAGGTCAAAAATAAAACTTTCACGAAATATTATTGCACGGATTACATGTTTGATACTTTACCGCGTCTGTAACAAGTAATGACGGAAAAGGATGAAATCGAAAACTTTCGGAAGCAGTAAGGGAAGTGCTATTGAAAAGGATGACACGAATGATAAGGGTATAAACATATCAAGAATAAAGTCGATTCCGATTTGGGAGAATGCGGGGTGCAACAATGTGCCGATACATACTGCGAGCAGGAGAGAGGGGGAGGGGAGGGGAGAGGAAGGTACAAATCACGCAGGCTAAGGATCACGAAAACAACCCTATCAAACAGCACGAGTCGGCCTCGAAAGTCTTAACATTATAGCATCGAATATTTATCGAAATCGAATTGAAATTGAATTTAAACTCGATTTTAATAAACGTTCGATAATAACTTTAGTGTTTCGGGATCGACTCGTGACGTGTGGTGGGGTTTGTTTTCATCGTGTTGTTGGTATACGCGATCCATATCCTCTCTCTTTCTCTCTTGCGCGTTATATATCGACGTAAACATTGTTGCTCTCTATTCCTCGCATTCCTTCAAGTCGGAATCAGCGCGACCTTGTGCCTGCTACTGTTTTGCTATTATTCGCACGGCGGCACTTGTACGGGATAAATCATTCCGTAGCAGCGCGTTATCTTTTCCCCTATAATACCCTTACTTGCTTTCCACAGTTTTTTATCTTATTCTTTTTCGTCGTTATCTATTGCAGAGAGTGTCGAACGCGTATTCCGTGCGATAATATTCGAGTTACATCTTTGTCCTAAAATGACAAAGTACGCGTCGGGAGTGTCGTTTAAAATATCGGGCGATTTTTGTATTCGCGACACGAACGCGAGTGAGTGCCTTAGTTTGCGAGGACTGAGAGGAGGAGGAGGCTCGGGAGGAGCATCGGGCGCCGGTGGAGCAACGTTTAGGTAATATTAGTCATTTATTTGTTATTTACTATTTGCACAAAAATTATTTGCGCATAAAATATACGTTAATATTCACCATACTTTGATTTTTTTTACATATTTATTATTATTTTAATTAATTAAACTTTTTTATTCAAAAATTATGTTTAAAAATTTTAATTTTTTCTCCAGCTTTAGTAGCTTATTTTTTCCTTTTAAATTATTGTTTTAATTTTTTATTTTTAAAGATATGCGTAAATAAACGAATATAAAGTTTAATGTGTGTAGTAATTATTTCTTTAATATTAATTATTTTGGACAGTACTCTAATCTGGATTTACTTTTGTATTTTACAGATTTAGCAACACCAGCAAAGAACGACAGCTCCGCTGCTGCGCATCGTGCTGCGGTGAGTTTAATTTTTTATTTTAATATTATTGAAAGAATAGATTTTAAACAAATGTAAAATATATAAGGAGTCGCAGACTAACCCAGTAATTTTTAGATGCGAAGCGTTTAAAGTTTAATTAAATTGTCACAAATTTACGCGTTCAAACACGTCACATATTGATTTTTATATTCTTGTTTTATGAGAAACCTGAGAAATCTGCTATTAAAGGATGAGATACGGTTAATCTGGAACGCTCTAATAAATTTCACATTTTTTTTATAAAAGATGAAGAGTGTACGTGAAAACATGTCCCTCATAATGTTTTCAATTAAATGCGAAAACCGATAGTTTTACTTTGATACTTTCCAACGAACATAAAGCTACGCAGCGAATTATTCAGCAAAACACGATTATTGCTCATTCATCATCTGTAAATAATGCGCGCTATTTCTCTACAAAAGTGCACGCACGCCGCGACAAAGCGGATCGATATTTCATTTAGCGGCTACCTGCTTTAAAGCTCGGACGTGTTGTCACAAGACCGGATTGCTTTGGACAGTACTGAATCATATTGCAATCTGTAGCAAGGATGTTGACAGACGCTTCATTAGAGCTTCTATGTACGGTTCTGCCTCGTTTGCTTATTTCTTTGAGTTTGCTTGAACTTATTGCGCTAATTTTTTTCAATTCAAAATAGCTTTACTGAAACGCGATTTTTTAACTTTATTTAATCAAAATTAACTGCTTTAGCTTGATTGTCGCAGATTTATAATTACATTACAACTTATAATTACATCTTGGCGCACTCAGATGTACATATATAATATATACAATTTAGAATGTATTTCGCGCACTCACATTTCTGATTCTCTCTACTCGGTGGAAAACTTTTGCGAAACTAGTTTCTTCGAGATGCAACTTGGGTGATATCAAGTAGTTGTTAGTTCCTTCTTCGATGAAAGTACAGAGTGCATTGTACTATGCGATGCAACCGAAAAAAAACTCTGAAAGGTAAGACAGGCAAAAAAAGAACTTGATATATAATTTATGTAAAATTAACAAAATTATTTGAAGAAACTTACACTTTAAATACGATTATTTCTTACATAAAAAGCTAAAAAAAATAAAATAAATCGTTACATGTAACTCGAATGACGACAGACGTGTAGAGCTGCGACAGATGTCATGATAGAGGCGATAATAAAAGTTTACAAGAAGACACGCTGTTTACGCAAGATAAGTAACCCTCTCCCTAAAGAGGAGGCGTGAGATAAGTCTATCGTAAAGTCGAATCCGATAAGTCACCGGCATCGATCTGATGCATATAGTCATCTTGTGTATATATTTATCTTCTCACATACGCTCGGTAATATCCACATGTGGAGATACCGACGTGCTTTTAGAAAGGAAGTGTGTGTTTGTAGGCGATAAGATAATTTCGTACTAGGAAAAGCCGCTTTACGGATCGATAGATAAACAGGAGAGTTATTCTAAGATATAGCAATGCAAAGAAAGGAGAATTGCAAAGAAATTTCTGTTGAAAATTATGTTTGTCAGCAATTTAGGCGATTATACTCATTCGGTTAAACGTAATTTCGAAATCTATTTTCTACTAAAGGAGAGGAAAACGAATACGCTGCAGCATAATTGAACTCGTATTTTGCAGTGTATTTGTTAGATTTAATTATCCGATATAACTGTGCGCAAAAACATGCTGCAACGAAGCGGAGGATAATGATGATTGTCTATCAAAATTTTTTAAAATACACTTTGTAATTTGTATTTTTTTTCTTTTTCGAACAATTTTTAAATATTAAAACTGTCAAAAGAGTAATAGTCTATTTTTCAAAAGTGATCACAGCTAACGTCGTTTACATATAATACCTTTTTCGTATAAAATAGCGCAAGTAGTGATGCGATGAAAGCTATTACTCCAGAAGTTAAGGTGTTTCGACATACTAATAAATCACTCGTATCTACGTGCATATGACGGGTAGTGACGTCGTACTTTCATGCAGTTTTACGGGCTTTGGACTTTTCAGCAGGCCATTTATAGTATATAGCTAATAATAAAGTTCCCATATGTCACAGCGCGAGTGGAAATATTATGGATGTCGACTCAACGACGTCATTAAAACAGCAGAAATATATAAATAAAACTGGAAAAAGTGACCGAAAAATGAATGCATTTTACACTACGCAACGGAGAATTTTTTACATTTTTTAAAATATGAACATTTATGCGAATCTCATTTGAGAATACAGCTTTCAGTGAATCATAAATTTGTCATTTTAATAGTCACCGTCTTATTCTCGAATGCAGCATCATTCTGCGAATAAATGTTATTTTAACAACGAGCGACAAGCGCAGTGCGCGATTTACTTCCTTTTCGCTTGACACACAGCAGCACTCATTTAATTATTCAAATTACGCGTGACATAGTTCTCTGGAAATAGCTCTTATATCTAATAGGGGGTCGCGCTTCTCGCGTCGAATTTCTCAAGAAGAAGGACAGCTGAAAAACTGAACTGCAGTAACCTTCTCGACCTGAACAAGACAATGCACTTCCTCGCTTGTCCGTCGTATTACCAACTCACCCCGCACGGCCTCTCACTATTATAGCCTTTACTAAATCGGTTTTGCATAATCCGGCTTGAAATCGGTTTTACTTAGAGGATTCAGAGCGGATTGTACGTACCGAATTTTTTCCGCGCTTTACTTCACCAAGTACAGAAGCCGCTATGTCAATTCCGCCTATTACGTTTACATTTAATTTGCGGTTACATTTATTACGATATTACGTTATCTCAGATATAAGAAGAAAAAAAAAAATAAATTCTACATGAAATTAATGAATGATTTCTATATTTTTATTTGTTTCTCTATTTTTAAATTTATTTAATCAGTAGCTTTTCACGTTACTCTTATCCGATTATCTTATCGATCACAGATTATTTTTATGCCGTTCTGATTTCAACATCTACCACGCTGACGCAAGTATGTCTGCTCATATGGTACATCGAAATACGTATAAAGAAGAATTGTTTTTGTGTACTTTCTGTTGGGATATATAAAGTTCTCTCTATTGTCTGATCGAATCAAACGCGAGTGAACGAGCAGTCCGCTTGGAATTCTCCGAGGCTTGATAAAAATTCTCGACTATTGGTTGCACAAGGGAGAAAATCAGATTAAGGAGTACAGAACGATTACCAATAACGCGTCGAAGAATTTTTTGCGCGATACCACGGACGAGCGAGGCGGCGAAAGGTAGATGCAATCGATAGGATTAGCGGGATCGTGACAAGGGCGTTTCTCCCTCGGCGCCGCGGATACAGTAGGAAAACTCACCGCGCCGCGAAACGGAACTCAGTCTGCTGCATCCGTGTGCAACCGCAGCTGAAATTACGCAACAAACGCACGTCCATCTTTCTCGTCGGGCCAGAGCCCGTCCCAATGCATATTGCGGCAATAATCCATAAACAGCAGCGTCATCGGTGGCGTTTGGCATTATCGGATTTGTAAACTGGCCAACGTTTGTGACGTGGTACAGTAAACTCGTTGACGTTCAAATATTCTCCCCTCCACCTCTTCAATTTCCAGCTCTTCGACCTTCCCCGCTGTCGTACTGTAATCGCAGCCGTGCAGCATACATGCATACTGATGCATCGCGAATCGACATAGTTGTCTCCGTTCCGCGGTGCAGTTGGTGGGTTATCCACGCGAAATTAGAGAATCTTGCGCGACGATCGAATTCCGGCGATACACTGACCTTAATAGCAATACTGATAATCTGCAAATTATAGCCAAAAGTTATTATTAATGATTTTTCTTTTCTTTACAAATTTATGAGATTACAAGTTGTGGATCAAATTTAACGGACAATGTTGAAGAATGTTGGTATTTTGTTCAAACTTTGCTGGAAATTTAAAAATAACACACATTTATATTTTAAGGCTTATAATAGCGCATGCAATTTTATTCGATTCATAGACAACAATTCATCTCTCGTGACTAGTTCTATTATAATTAGCGATGCGTATGAAATTTCAGCAGTGCGAGGAGTGAAGTCTGTAATTACATAGGTGCTCTTACGTAGGATCTACGTAGGACAAGTTGAGGCTTATCGATTACGATTAGATCCATATCTATGTCTATATATTGCATTTCTCCCATAAATTATTTTTAATAGTCTATTATTTCATCTATATAATACGTTTTAGCATAGCTAGAATTGTAGCTTTTCGCATTAATATTATGTAATTAAGTAGCTATTATTCATATAATCATTGCAAAATAGCATTATTATTGCCGAGCAGGCCGAGTTTTGTTTTTATTCAGCAGCATCTGGCCGTAAACAAAGTCGAAGCGATACAACTTTCCCGGGCAGTAATTTGTCGGATTTATCACTGAACTTTTAGATTTGGCAGCTACACCTCTGTACACTTGCATCGTATCCGTATCCGTTTACGAGATGCTTCGATCGGCTTGCAATTTCCTACTTTGCTGGGGTGTCAAAGTTCCGATGTTAGCCAAGTTTGTACGATTTCCTAGCGCGGCTAGCGTCTTTCCGTTCTGGAATTACGATCGAATTTTGGCAAAGTATCGATGTGTACAACATAACTTGTTGAGATATGACCGGGAATATTTTTTCAACATTTTTTTCTGCAGTATTTGTAAATATTATTTGAAAATAGCAGCTCGCGATTGAAACAAAAAAAAAAAAAAATAGCATACGTATGTTATGTAACATCTGATAGAACGTGAACGTCGTTTAAACACGTATCCTAATGTGACAGCGCGTGCGTTTATTTTTGTTGGAACGAAAGTGCCCCTCATAGAGAAATCGGTTGCCAGAGTTCCCGAACGTGATCGTACGCGATGAGATACGAGTCTGGAGCGTCGTAATGTCGACGATGGAAAGAGCTACGGGCACGTACGCGTTTTAAGCGAGCCCCAAGTTAGAAACCCGATGGAAACCGTGATTTTGGGGCCCCGCGGGGGAAATGCGCGGAGACTC